GGAGGCATAAATATGAGACTTTTATTTTGGCATTTCTCCACACTGGTGCAGTAAAGATACTCGATATAAAGTGTTTTTTTATTCATCAGGGGCACAAGACTTTAATGTAACATATTTTAATTATAGCTTACGGCTCTAAATACCTTTATTTTGAAAACCGGAAGTAAATACGCTGTTTCTCCGCATTTACCATAATGCTGAGAATACTTGTACACTCTAAATTTAAGTGCGGCTGATTTGACCACGGAGATCGGACTCACGGCTGGATTGACCGCAGTCTACTAGCCTACTGTTTCTTCTACACAGCACCGTCCTGTAAATGACAACATCCGGTCTCAGAATATGAAAAAACAGGCCTTTTTTCCGTTTCTGTTTTCTAGTGATTTTATTTTTTGTTATATGAAATAGAAAACGAAAATCGAATCATTTTTTAAATTTCGCTCATCCCTTTCAGACCATGAAAAAGAAAAACGCCTTGTATTTCAATTTTAATTTTTGTATTTTAAAACGAAATATAAAAAAATATTCGATTTTCATTTTCTATTTCATATAACAAAAAATAAAATCACTAGAAAACAGGGTCCGTGTATGGTCCGTGTATGTTTTGGTCATTGGATTTTCCTTTTAGAAACGGGTATTAAAAAACAGAAAACCAGTGGTTATTTGATTTTCGTTTTAAAATACAAAAATTAAAATTGAAATACAAGGCGTTTTTCTTTTTCATGGTCAGAAAGGGATGAGCGAAATTAAAAAAAATATTCGATTTTCATTTTCTATTTCATATAACAAAAAATAAAATCACTAGAAAACAGAAACAGAAAAAAGGCCTGTTTTTTCATATTCTGAGACCGGATGTTGTCATTTACAGGACGGTGCTGTGTAGTAGAAACAGTAGGCTAGTAGACTGCGGTCAATCCAGCCGTGAGTCCGATCTCCGTGGTCAAATCAGCCGCACTTAAATTTACAGTGTACAAGTATTCTCAGCATTATGGTAAATGCGGAGAAACAGCGTATTTACTTCTGGTTTTCAAAATAAAGGTATTTAGAACAGTAAGCTATAATTCGAACCTACATTTAAAATAAAATATGTTACATTAAAGTGTTTCATGCGCCCCTGATGAATAAAAAACACTTTATATCAAGTATCTTTACTGCACCAGTGTGGAGAAATGCCAAAATAAAAGCCTCATATTTATGCCTCCAGAGATTGCATATTTGACCATATTTGAGGTACTGTAAAAACATATTGCTCAGTGTTTCCTGGCTACTGATGGTATATTTGACTTTTACACATATGAGACTACAAACATACTTAATATCAAGCATTTTTACTGTACCAATTTGGAGAAATTCAACAATAAAAGTCCATATTTGTACCTCCAAGTGGTGTTTTCATATATTTGAGCTAATGTAAAAACACAAGAATAAAAGTCCCATATTTATACTTCCAGATTCCATATTTTCTTATATTTGAGCTACTGTAAAAATGTAAACTGTATGTGGAACCACCTGCAACAGCTGTCACACTGAATAACATAAAAAATAATATGTGAGGAAGAGACAGTAGGTACAATGGTGTTTTGAAGTTAAAACTAATTATTTTTCCCTTTTACCTACAAATGGACACAGCAGAGCTGCAAAATAAGAAGAATGTGGACTGGCATTGCATTTTGTGTGAAAAGTAAACAAATTAGAATTGTGTAGGATTTTGTGTTTAGTGTTTATATTATCAAGATGTTATTAAACATTTGTGTGAAATTTTGTCATGATTACTGCAGCATTATTGAAGTATAATGAAAATGCTTCACCCATAGCCAGGAAATATTGAGCAATATGTTTTTACAGTAGCTCAAATATAAGAAAATATGGAATCTGGAAGTATAAATATGGGACTTTTATTCTTTAATTTCTCCACATTGGTACAGTAAAAATGCTTGATATTAAGTATGTTTGTAGTCTCATATGTGTAAAGGTCAAATATACCATCAGTAGCCAGGAAACACTGAGCAATATGTTTTTACAGTACCTCAAATATTGTCAAATATGCAATCTCTGGAGGCATAAATATGAGGCTTTTATTTTGGCATTTCTCCACACTGGTGCAGTATAGATACTTGATATAAAGTGTTTTTTTATTCATCAGGGGCACAACACTTTAATGTAACATATTTTAATTATAGCTTACGGCTATAAATACCTTTATTTTGAAAACCGGAAGTAAATACGCTGTTTCTCCGCAGTTACCATAATGCTGAGAATACTTGTACACTGTAAATTTAAGTGCGGCTGATTTGACCACGGAGATCGGACTCACGGCTGGATTGACCGCAGTCTACTAGCCTACTGTTTCTACTACACAGCACCGTCCTGTAAATGACAACATCCGGTCTCAGAATATGAAAAAACAGGCCTTTTTTCTGTTTCTGTTTTCTAGTGATTTTATTTTTTGTTATATGAAATAGAAAATGAAAATCGAATATTTTTTTTAATTTCGCTCATCCCTTTTTGACCATGAAAAAGAAAAACGCCTTGTATTTCAATTTTAATTTTTGTATTTTAAAACGAAAATCAAATAACCACTCGTTTTCTATTTTTTAATATCCGTTTCTGAAAGGAAAATCCAATGACCAAAACATACACGGTCCGTAAACGAAAACATTAAATATCAAAATCGAAATCGATCCGTGGCCCGTTATTTAATTTCCTATGTTTGATCTGAGCAATAAATCGAAAGTACAAAAAATAAACCGTTATTTGTTTTTTGGTATCAGATTCATAAACAATTAAGGAAATAACAAACCGTTTTTTCATTTTCCGATTTTGGAATCTCAATTGAATATGAAAAGAACGAATGATACACGGATTCCCTGGTGACATGTCACACCTACTGAAGCAAACTGTAGCACATACATATGAAAATGCTTTTACATGACTATGTTCTCCCTTATCAGCCTAGTTTGTCTTTTTTGTGGAATTGCAGAGATGTTGTAATATTGCATGCTAACTGTATATTTGTTTAGTATTTTGGGGTTCTGACCTGTATCCTGAATCTGCTTTGACCCAAAGATATTAACCCCCTCAACCTCATTGACCTCTTTCTTTGTATTGTCACTGCCAGTTTTAAAGATGGAACTCATTCTGGAACTCCATTTGACTAACATCATTTTGTAATGTACACACAAAATATTCCTGTCCATAATATGAAGCCAGAGAGTTAAACTTAAAATGTGTAAGTAATATATTACATGTCATGTATGTAATTTTTTGCCATGTATGAATTGGAATGTTTTTTCCTGATGATAGTATTAATTGTGTTGGTTCACTTGGAAGCATGATGTTGCCAGTCACCTGGACTCTTTGATCTTTATTGTCTTTACATCAAGGACCACAATTGCAAAAAGTATTGGACTTTATTTTGTTATCCTTGATATAAGCTACGACTGTCAGTTGGACTGGACCAGAAACACAGAGGCTGTCTACAAAAAGGGCCAAAGCCGACTCTTTTTTCTAAGGAGGCTGAGGTCCTTTAACATCTACCAGACGATGCTGAGGATGGTCTATGAGTCTGTTGTGGCCAGTGCGATCTTCTTTGCTGTCACATGCTGGGGCAGTGGGCTGAAGGTCGCAGATACCAACAGACTAAACAAACTGATCAGGAGGGCCGGTGATGTGGTGGGGGAGGAGCTGGACATGTGGTCATTAAACTCTATAACGCCTCCCTAAGAGAGTCAGATACCCCGTCTCTGTAATGTGACTCAACACGGACAATCATTTTTTGCACTTTTTGCACATTATTAAACTGTACATGTGATATTTTGTTCTTAATAGATGTTGCTTGTATATTGTATGTTGTATGTAAATGTGTTGTATGTATATCTGGAATTGGTAACAAAAATAATTTCCCCCTGGGATTATTAAAGTATTTCTGATTCTGATTCTGATTCTGAAAAGCTGTATATATATATTTTTAGGGCTTTTATCAGCCTGAATGCAGAGAACCAGGATGAGAGGTACAGCCAAGGGCCACACATTGGCAGGCTTTAGGGTGGTTGATCCTGGCTCCAGGTCCTGAGATCTAACGCTCAGCATATCAATGACACTCACAACAGAGAGGAAAAATTCCTCAAACAAGTACTGACTGGTTAGAGTACAAGGGCTGTCATTTTGACTTGTTTGTGTTGGTATTTACTCTACATACTGCAATCATGGAAGATTTTGGGGCTGGTCTTATTTTTAAGTTTATGTTTGATTGTATTTTTAGACTTGAATTATGATGCAGGAAAAAAACAAATAAAAATAAGAATGCATTCACATTAGACCATTGTTTCTGAGTGGTGGTACTGTATTGGTCTTGTACTCCACTTAATGCAATTATGTTAAAGACCACAAGTTTAAATGGTTAGAATTAAGTAAGCATTCCAGAGTACAGTTCAACTAGTAGTACTATGTTAACAAAAACTGACTACACGCTTGTGGAGGGGAGAATAGAAAACCTAGAAGGCCCCAGCGAGGATCGAACTCGCGACCCCTGGTTTACAAGACCAGTGCTCTAACCACTGAGCTATGGAGCCATACTATTTCCTTTGACATTGTAGGTCTATATTTATTACTGGAGAAGTAGTACGCTATACGATGTATGTATGTATGGGTCAATTTACGTTGTATGCTATTGTACAGTAACTATGCTACAAAATTCGTTGCATTAACGTTTGGTTACATCACCGAGCTTTAACACTTAACGTTAACGGCTGTGGCGCAGAGGTAGAGCGGACCATCCACCAATCGGAAGGTTGTCTGGTTCGATCCCGAGCTGCATGTCGAAGCATCCTTGAGCAAGATACTGAACCCCAATGTCGTCGATGCTGTACATAGAAAGACAAGGGAAGGCTAGAAAGGCGCTATACAAGTACAGGTCCAATTTACCATTTAACGTGAAGTGCAAGCTGTCATGCTGAAACAAGCCACATTAGCGTTTAAAAACACACACTTTACATTTCGGCAACATGATATTGTAACACTTTTATTTTGCTTGATCCTTAATAATGCACATTTGTTAAAATCTACGAGATAAAGCTTTTTAAAATGCTACATTGTACTCTTTTCAATAGCCTACATTTGATAAAACAGAGCTGTCAAATTTCGAGTTATGTCAGATTTAATCTGTTTGGTCTGAGTGGAGGAAAGCCAGAAGAGATTTTTTCAATAGATTTTTTTATTAACCATTTTCCAATAAAAACGTGATAAAATCATACATTCATTCAGTGGGTATTAAACATTGAAGACCTAGGAAATGTGACATTCAGACACATCAAAATTGTTACTGTAACAAATCACTGAGGAGGCAGACTTAATGTGAGCCAACCATACATTCAAACTAAACATTCAAGTCTGTAATGAAAAAGAAATTCTTCTATATAAACATTTACCTTTACCTAGAATAATTTCCAGGAAAGTAGGAGTCCATCTGGTTACAGTGTTATATCTAATTAATACATTCCAGTTGGTTATCTCAAAAATAACCTCTGGAATGCTTTGATATAAAGGACTATCTTTGTTGGTACTACCTCAACTGCATCATCCCTACTTTAAATTGTGATTTCCTGAACTTTTTTGCATTTATCTGTGGATTCTATGAGAAGCATTAGTGCCATGCCCCATAGTCAAAGCATAAATAATTCTAAAAGATTTCTCCCTTTGCGTTTTATTGTGATGGACTAACAACAAAATACAGCAATTTAGATCATAATTATGCAATTTAACTCTATCGTAGATAAAAAATATGGTGGCACAAATTATGCGTTCTAAGTGATGTGGTTCAGTGTGCTCATTCGTGGGAATGAGAAAGTTCTCCACTAAGAGTACATACTGTAGAAAAGACCTGTTTTTAACAGTGTTAAATTTATGGTGGATTTAGTTAATGATAATTATCTTTGACTTCAAAGTAGTCAAACATTTAGATTTCTACAATGTAATCCGAATTGCCACAGATCACCCCGGCATCTTCATAATGGGCACAGTTATGCGTCCCCACACCAGCGTGTTTGCAGTCCAGCAGGCCGGACTCGGTCCCTTCACACTGAACATCATCCAGAAGAATCTGCAGATCTGTCCCCTCCCCGAACTCTGAGTTCTTGGCTGCCTTTAGAGCGTAACGAAAGCCTAGTTGCCGGCAAACCACTGCAGCATTCTTGGTGGTCCATAGGTCGTCACATACGGTGCCCCACTCCCCATTAATGTAGATCTCCACCCGTCCATGGTCATTGCGGCCTTGTTCATCCCCAACTAGCCTCACTGCTCCATTCTGGAGTTCAGGCACACTCTGCGATCTGGATTTGCCCTTCCTGCGTTTGCCTTTCCGCCTTGAATGTCTGGGTGGTTTGGTGGTAGTTGTGGTTGGCAAAGGGGTGGTTGGGTCAAGTCCTGCTTCACCTAGGCGGTCAATAAGCTCTTGGAGCCAGTCGGAAGATTCTGTGGATCTTGGTTCAGGCTTGTTTTTGCTTGGTGACTCAACGCCGATTAATGCTAATGGTAAAAGCATAAAAGAACAAGACCAATTATGATTTAATTTGTTTTCCAACTAGCCAGTAGTGAGGTTAAACTGTTTTGGAGAGGGACTCACTTTCCTGGGGATCAAACTTAATGAGGTTACTTTTCACTCTGACAGGAAGAGGGTCATAGTGACATTGTCTCGGTGGAGCACGTCTGAAAAACAATTAATAACAAAACAGAATGAAATATTGTTGCATATAAGAGAAGACAGGCATACATACATGCAGGTGGAGAAAAAACAAATTTTTCTAAAACGTTTAGTTTTTTCATATGTATTTGGCATGTATGTGTAGTGTACAGCGCATTGAGTGGTCGAAAACTAGGCCACACAAAGGTGCTATGTAAGTACAGTCCATTTACCATTTAACTTTTAGCTCAAGTGACAACAGTGGTGAGGAACAGTTCAAATGACTAGGATAGAAATAAATGCAGAGAGAGCCAAGAGTCAGAGAAGGGAGATTCAGGAGACAGACTTTTCACACCATGGCCAACACTGCTTTATTTTCCTGCTTTACCAAAACAAATTCTACCTATATAATCTCCATATTCAGCTGAGAAATATCTGAGCCAAGTATGATCCTGACAATGCACATCCCTCGGGTTCACAGAGTAGAAAGACATGCCTGTGTTTGTAATTATAAACAGCTGTGTGTTTCCAAGAAACAGAAATAGAACTGTACATACTCTCTGTACACAGTGATCAGCTACTTCACATGGCAAATTAAGTTTTCTTTGTGTAATGATGGTACAGAAGCAAAGTAATGATTATATTACTCACCTTGAGGGATCTACAACTTTATAAACAACTCCTGAAGGTGACGTAGCACTCGGTATACCAGTCGACATGAAATACAGCTCGCCTGATGGAAAGAAAAACAAAACATTACATCAAGACGACCTTACACAAGAAAACATATTTGAAAATGACCAACTGAGTTTGAGGGTGTGCATGCGTTCATGCATTACCAGCTTCATCCTCGGCAAAGGAGATGACATACTGATGGTAGTTGTTGATGAGTCCAGGGAAGGCGCAGGTCAGGCCCGTCCCCATGCAGATCTCATTGTATTTCCATTGGCCCGTGTTTGTATCCTCCCGCAGACTCATCAAACGCCTGGGAAAGAATCAACTCTACAATCTCTAATGTGCAGTGCACTATTATTTCATGGTGGAGATTTGCATGAACTTTTATACCGTAATAACAGCAAATAATAACTAATACTTGTAAATGGATCTGTACTAGTATAGCGCCTTTCTGCCTCTCCGCCTTTCTGTGAGAGTGGTTCTATAAGATTTAAAACCTCTCTGGCAGAGTTCACTTCTTAAGTAAGACTTTTAGGACTCAATGGAAATAGTTTTTATAATTGATATTAATTGTTAAAGTAATTTAACAATATATTTTAACAAATTTGCTGATTTGCGGCTTTTTTGTATTGTGTATTACTGTGAGATTTTAATGACTAAACAATTAATGGATTTATAAAAAAAAAAAATTGACAGATTAATCAATAATGATCAAAAGATCCTTGAAGCTGGAAGCTTTGTCTGCACTAAATTCTGTTTTACTGAAGCTACAAGTTGGTGGAGAGCATGGCACAGTGGTGTAGGGTGTGTAGCATTTTTCTTAAAACAAGTGCTTTTGGAACTGATAAGAAACTTCACCAGGCCATGAAGTGGGACTTTAAATGCATGTCCAAACTAGTTCACAGACTCCACGTCATTTCTAAAATCGTCAAATGCAGGTAGGCATCCAACAAACACCTCCAGCTGTTATCAGAGGAGAAATGTGCTCTTTACCAGATTAAACCTTACCCACTCATAAAGTCTCCAAACATGTATATGCCATTCAGGTTGGGGTATTCACAGCCTCGGTACACATAGCCACCAGTCACTGACTTGCCCATCCTGTGAGGGTACGCATAAATAGGCAGGACATCCTCTGTGAAAAAATCCATCAGTCATTATTTTTCAATCAAATTTTGATTGAAAGTCATGTCATGCATTCATGGCTAGTAAGAAAAGTTACATTTAACTAAAACTAATGGCAATACCCAACTCCTGCTAACAAAATAGGACTGAGCAGCAACAATTAGTCAACTGAGCAGTTGTCAGCTATCAGCTATCTATCGCCAACCATTTTGATAATTGGCCTGTGTCAGTTTCCAAGAATAATGTCAAAAAAAAATTCAGCTTCTCAAGTGTAAATACCCTCTGATCTCCTCAGTCTTCCATGACAGCAAACCAAATATCCCTGCTCCATGAACAAAGAGAAACACCTGCGGATAGATGTTGTGCCTAACATTAATCAACATTACCAATAGAAGGAAATGTATTTATTATTATACACCACAAGGTTGTAACAAAATGGAAATGGGATGAGGTTTCTTCAGGACAGGGACCACTGTTGAACGTTTGAAGTATGTGGGAATAACGGACAGGGTCAGGGAGAGTTGAAAATATCCATGAACCACATCCACACAGATCCCGATATTCCTTTCAGTCCTGCTACCTTCCTGGTTTCCATCCTCCTGAAGCTCCTCCTCACGTGTGCTGAGACAGAGACTGCAGGCTTCTCTCCCACCCAGGATGTGACAGCTTCAAGGCAGATGGTGGTGTTAGCCTCAAAGCGTGCACAGAAGGTGTTGAGATCCTCAACCAGAGAGCAGTCCTCCAGTCACCATCCGGGAGATGGTCGCTTTGTTGTCCGTTATGCTTGATAGTCCCTGCCACAAGCATCTGGAATTAGTCTGTTGTAATTGTGATAGCCTCCTTCTCTGCTCTATGGATGTTGTATGATGCAGCTATTCATCCATGTTCAGAGTTGGAAGACCTGTGGTGTATGCAGCAGTGTGGGCCTTCAGAGTATCACAGATGGTGTGATCCACCCATGGCCTCAGATTGTAAAGGTCCTGCTGGTCACCATAGTAACAATATCAGTCACTAATTTCCCAATAAATCCCACAATAGACTCCATAAACAGATTTATGTCATTATCACAGCTGCACCTGAATATATCTCAGTCTTCATCATACAGAGCGTACTGATTGGTCAGTCCAGTGGATTACCTCCTGCTGAATCTGAACTTCCTGTTTCAGCCATTGTTAATACTTACACAATAACAATGGCAGCTTAGTCAGATTTGCCAATTGAGGGGAGAGACTGCACTTTGTACCCGTTCTTTAACTGTGTGCAGCAATGGTCCAGAGTGATGTGTTGCCAAAGGTTGTGTTGTCATCAGTGGCACTGATGTGAACTGAAGATAACTAATGTGAATTGAAGATGGCTGATGTGAACTGAAGATGGCTGATGTAAACTTCAGAGGAAAGATAGAACAGGTGGTGTTTTATGATCAGGAGCACCAGATTGGGTGAACAGGAGATTGTGAGCAAAATGATGTTCCTGCTGTTGCACCAGTTGTTATTTGCCTTTAGACATACTTCCCCTCCCCTTGATTTTCCAAAGTCCGCTGTTCTGTCCATGTGTTGAAACAAGAGGGACTCCACTGAGTGAATGCTCTGGTCTGGTACCCAGGGTGCCATGTTTCCAAGGATGTTACTGTCCCCTATGTCTCTCTGGTACTTTATCATGACCCTGATCATCCAGTTTATTCTCTAGAGACAGGATGGATTGGATATTAAGATACTGAGCGATGTGCCCGGGTCCTCAGCCTGTTCCTGACACCCAGTTGTTTTCCTTGGTGCTTTTTTTGCATCTTGGCGCAGGCACGCTCTTGTTGTTGTCCTTCCTTAGGATCTCGCTTGGTCAGGTAGATGATTGATCTTGATTTTATGCTATACACACATAGAGTATATACTAATATTTAATTTAGAATAGAATAGAGTACAATTAAATTAAATTAATTAATAAATAGATTAGAATAGATGTTTATGTAAATATACCTATACAAGACACCTAGAAAGAAATAATTCAATAAGGCACATTTGAAGTGACTGAGTGGTGATGCAATTTTTATAAAGACTGTGAACAATGTAATGTATTAATGGATTACACTTAAAAGGTCAGTGTTTGTGTGTAATGAAAAACTTCATCACACAAACACAGGTGGCAACCACCTCTGTCTGCAGTTGAAAGAGTAACCACTGATGACTGTAATCACACGATCATGCCTACCTAGTGAGCTGTTGGCACACAGCTTCTTATCGTAGCAGGAGAAGCCCTCTTTGGCTCTCCAGCCATAGTTCCGACCTTTCTCGATGATGTCGATCTCTTCAAACTTGTTCTGGCCTACATCTCCGCAGAAGATGCGCCCTTTGCCCTCTTTAGTCCTTGGGTCACCCCGGTCCACAGAACACCTCCACATATTGCGGACGCCATAAGCATAAACCTCAGGTCGTGCCCCCCGGTCACGTATGAAGGGGTTATCTGGTGGAATTCTGTACAATGGGCCTCTCTCATTGTCATCCACATCAATGCGAAGAACTTTACCCAACAGAGCTGACCTAAAGGAGATGTGGCATTATGGAAAAAATCTGATTTTATCTGAAATGCACAGAAACACATAATTGCCCTTTGTCAATTAAAACTAACTTTATATTTTATAATGAATTAGTTTTTTTACTACATTTTCTAAAGTTCAATACATCCTTTGTTACTGCTGATCATTCAAGGGTGCCTAGTTTCAGAAATCTTTAGTGGATGTCTTACTTGTTCTGGGCATTTCCATATTTCCCGAATGGGTCTCCTGCCATTCCGCCATCCCCTGTGAAAATGTACAAGTAGCCATCATCTGCAAAAAGAAGTTGGCCTCCATTGTGGTTTGATGCTGGTTCATCAATCTCCAGAATAACACTGGAAGGAGAGTGGACATGGCAAATAAGACAAGAAAAGGATCTGGTATAACTCCATTTTTTTGAGTTTATTTCTCTGTGTGCATGCAGAGTTTTAAAAGTTCAGATCACTGCCGTTTGCTAACCTGGTTGTACATCAATACCTACCGCTCAGAGGCGTGATCCACCACATTCATATCGTTGGCTGACACATGGAACTCACTGATCCTGATCCTCTCATCAAAACCCACCTCCACTGAGTAATACACATACAGCTTCTTGTTGTACTTGAACTTGGGATGAAAGGTGAGTCCCAGAAAACCTCTCTCATCACCTTCCCATGATGATGTTAACACCGCCTGGGTAATGTTTAAAAATGGTCTCTCCAGTTTGGACCGGTCAGGAAGGTACGTCCACACCAAGCCCACCTGTTCTGCCACAAAGAACCGATGTGTGCCGTCATTGGCGTGCACCATGGCTAGCGGATTCCTCAGCCCGTTTGCAACTTCTTCAAGGCACAACTGCAGACAGCCGTCCGAGTCTGACTGAACCCGGCCCAGGTTCTGGGTGAGCTTCTGGTTGCTGAGGAGGTGTGGGTAGCAGTAGTCCACGTCGTCTAGCTCCAGGTATTGGCATAAATGTGTCTGGTCTTCTTTAACTTTGGCTATGTGTGGGTCGTCAGACAAGAGGGGGATGGTAGGGCTGCACTTCTTCCAAAATTGGGAACAGTAATCAGGACAGAGGCCAGGAATGGTCCTGACTGGTGTGCTCGGGTCCTCAGCATCAAAGAGGTGAGCTGCATAGGGAGAGCATTCCTGTACAGATAAAGAAAAGCGGTCAGGAGGGATGGAGAGACAATACAGAGGAAGACTGAGTATGATGGGTAGTATGTAGACGTTTCCTTAAATTAGCCTGAACTGGTTTTTGGGGGACTTAGGGGCTAACATATAAGCTGGTTAACACAAATGACACAATAACACTGATATATAAGTTTTAGGTTGATATCGTGAAATTGGTAGGAAACAATTGCCCATTTACACATCTAGCAATTCTAACATTTGCATTCATTTGAACTTGTGTTTCTGTCTACATGATGGATGTAAGTCCAATATTAAATTGTTATTAAGTTCTTTTGGTCTCCATCAACTCCTGATACTGAGAATATGTTAACCAACTATTTGCTCAAGGGTTAATGAGGGGTGAAAAAAAATCAACCCCATCTCTGACAAAATATCCACATTAAGTTAATCTCCCCTCTCCCCTCCACTATGCTAATTTAAATCAGATTTTAAGCGCTGTGGCTCCAAAGCATGATTTATGATATCACAAAGTCAAGTCTTGAAGTTTGGAAGTCAAGCCTGGTCCAGTATACAAGTGTGATGTAGAGCCTTGAAGCCAACGTGCACATTAAGAAAACTTAAGAAAATAACAAATTATGCATATTCATACACCGATCAACCATAACATTATTATTATCATAATGTGTACATAATTAATATATTTTCGCTTTGTTTAAAGGATTTGTTTGTTTAGATAATTTTCTGACAAATGTACACAAGACATACATCAAGAAGACAAAAACTAAAAAAATAGTCTTTCCCCATAATAAGAACATATAAAACGTCCATAAATAAACGTCCTGACGTTGTCATTTAAAAAAAAAATTCCCATGCTGAGTCCGCCTGAAATACACACCGCAAGGCCTATTGCATAGAGAGGGATGACCTTTAGTCTACCTTGCTTCAGCTCTTAAGTGTAGTCTACGTCATGAAACGGAGTGTCCTTCATATTTTTCTATTTGCCAAAGAGATCAGATGAAATGCTTTTATATTCATGTAGTTTTACACATGACAGATCGGCTTCCTATGCTCATGTAAGCATCAAGTGTTTAGTTGTTTGATGGGGCTTCTGGCGCTATGGGGGCGTTTTGGACTAAGCCAAGCGACCTTATTTGTCCATACATCCCTACCTGGCAGAGCAGCTCCAGGACGAACCCAGCACAGTTGGCATATCCGTAATAATCAAAATTATCCATAATCCGGTAGTACTTTGTCATTAGCTCCTGGTCTTTCGGATAATCACAGCACCCAAACTCCTTGTACATTACGCAAAACTCCAGCTCCCTCAGCGGTCGGTAGGGCGGCTTAAAGTCCAAACACTGCGGGTGTAACATTACAGGTGCGAAACATAAAGCCCAAAAATACAAGATGCCAGTCGACGAGAGCCACAGCTGGCCCAGTACTCTGCCATAACATCGCTGCATTGTGGCATGCATGCGTTGGAGATCATGGAAGAGAGTTGTGCAGAAGCGTCTTCCTGTCTGCACTTTGCTCTGACTCCAGTCAACCGCTTTTATGTCGCCCTCTGACGTAGTGACCAACCGAGTGCTCTGTCACCCTGTCTGTAGTCAGGCTGCAGCGTCGCGAGCCGTTCGTTTGGTGTGGACTGCAGACTGAAACCATCTGCCGCCCCCGGTACATCTGCATACAAAATGGAAGAAACGAGTCTGAGCCGCTACAGCCGCCGTCTGTGCGATAGATTAATATGATAATAACACCATCAGCAGATTTATATTAACATCATAATCGATTAGGCTACTCGTATAATAAGTCCACCTCCATCAAATACTCTTTTATTAATTTAAGTATCCTATATGACATTTATTTGCCGTTGTTTTCATTGAGTAGTAGTCTGAATTCTAATTCAGACTACTACTCAAGCCTAGTCCGCAGTGCATTGTGGGTTTGTGGATTAATTGTAGTTTGTTGTGTTAAACTCTTGTCTTTTGCGAAATATTATTGTTGAATAATCATGCATGTAGAGTCCTGCTGCCCAGTAGATGGCGACCTTAACAACAACGACGCACGCAGTTTGTGAAAGATCCGGGTCAGTATCATAGGGGTGAAATTGGTCTATTTAAAATAACCATGCACTTAATGAACCGTGACACACAATGTGCTGACTATAGAATTCATAGTGCAGGGCGCCAACAGCAAAGTACATCTGACTTCTAATCGTTGGCGTGACCTCATTTTGGAAAATTTCTGAGGGATCAAATTCCTTCTGAATTTTGTTTTTGTCACTAATAAAGTCTGTGGTGCTGCCTACAGAGGACACTGTTACTTTATTTAGTGTTGGATACGCTCTCTCTCTCTCTCTCTCTCTCTCTCTCTCTCTCTCTCTATCTCTCTATCTCTGTCTGCCTGTCTCCTCCCATACCCCTCTACTTCAAGGACCAACGCGGTGCTCCGGTCTCAGGCTTCAGGCAGTGTTTCATCACGTCTCCAAGATGAATTTCCAGCGTTAATATTAATTGCTATGATTTGTGGATTAAAGGCAGGGTGATCTCAACCTGTCTCTGTTGCCCAGCGTGGATCATGAATCTGGTTTAACTAAGCCTTCCTAAACCGGTTAGAAGACTCCCGGCTGTTTATCAGTAGCCTACAACATTACAACAGCGGGGACATGGACGGGGCAGGCGTAGACCAGTTGTCCGACGGCGAACTGCTGATGTTGGGAAAGGAGGATCTGATCCGAAGGCTAAGGAGGCTGGAGAGCCGCAATATAGACCTGATGCTGGAGCACGGAAACATGGTGATGGACGTGAACCGGAGCCTGCAGGTCCACCTCCACGAGATCCGGAGTCTGAAAGAGGTCAACCAGAAACTGCAGGATGATAACCGGGAGCTCCGAGAGCTGTGCTGCTTCCTGGATGATGACCGACAGAAGGGGAAGAGGGTGTCCCGGGAGTGGCAACGGTTCGGCCTCTATACGGCCAGCGTCCTGTGCAAAGATGTCGGGCTGTACCTGCAGAAGATGGGAGAGCTGGAGGCCAGTCAGGGTGTACTGTGGACGGAGAATATGGAGCTGAAGGAAATCGTCCTGATGCTGGACGAGGAGAGGAACGGAGCCTGCTCCCGGAGCTCCATCGACAGCCAGTCCAGCTTGAGCAACAGGAACAGCTCGGTGCCAGTTCGGGACGTCGGGGATGGTAGCAGCACATCCAGCACTGGAAGTGCCGCTAGTCCCGACCACAACCACCGCTTACACAAAGCATCTGAGGGAAAGATAGCATCTCTAAAGAGGTCTATGGACGACCTATCCGCCACTCATTTCCACAGGGGAATGGGGCTAAGTGGTAAGAGATGCTCATGTTATTAATCATGTAGCTCAGGGGGAAACTGCAGCCTATTACTATGTGATAAAGTTAGTAGTCTACTATATGTGATGAAAAAGTTGTTTGTTTGAAAGGTTGTTTTTCTTTTTCTTTTACCATTTAGTGTAAAAAAAACAAAAAAAACAGTAGCTAAAATGTTATAGCCAGAAGAAATAACCCTTACTTATGCAGGGGTGGCATGAAGTATGTGTCTCAGTTTTCAGTCATTCCGATTTTATTCAATTTGAATACACGGATCCCAGTATGCAAAAAATCTTCAAATACACTAGGCGACATTTTATACCATATACATAAAAGGGTTTTGCCCAAAATTGCATGGGATTAGCATAAAGTGAACATGTCTACAATTCATATATCTTGAGGTCAGAGGTCAAGGGACCCCTTTGAAAGACAGTATGAAGTGGAAGAGGTTAGGATAATGGGGTGGCAGATTTCAGATCAGATTTCAGGGGTGGCCAGTGCCACCCCAGGCCCCCCTGGAATTGCCCGTAGTGGCAGACCTGGCCTCTACTGGTCTGGCTGCTGAAACTGAAATGACACAATCAACCCAACAATACTCTATACCTGTACAATACCTGGCCCTTAGTGGTCCATGTGTGGGTGCTCCAAGAGGCAGGCTTTGCCATGCCAGAGAGAGTACCAATGCAATATTAGGTTATGCCTTCAGTATACACTCAACTAGACACAGTGTGTGTTCATCATAACACTGAACTCTTCTTGTAATGATTTGCTTTTGATATGTAGAAAGACAATTGATTAATTTTATTGAATGAGAAAAACAGTTTTAGGATATATAAAAATATTCTGCTTTGAATAATTTGTAATAACCATAATTACCATGTTAAATATCTTAAAAAGACATCTACTCCTTTTCCTTCATTAAAAAATCCTGAGTTTATAGCCCCACCCCTGCATTACCCAACACCTACCCCCATAATATCCATTCATGGGGTTGCTGTGCCTCAGGAGTTAGAGTGTCTCCTAAACGAAAGTATCTTCCCACTTCCCACTGCATGTCAAAGTGTCCTTGGACAAGATTCTATCCCCAAATTGCTCATAATGCTCTGCCATCAGTGTATGAATGTGTACATTTTCTCTTCTCACCCAATGTTCCACCATGCCATTCATAATAACACACTATTCATAATGTGCCTTGTTGTGTGTTGAGCAGCAGCACTCAATTAAAAATCGCCCCAACAAAACAACTGGCTCAACCAATCACCAATAGCTGATATATTCAACCAATAGCCCAACCCTAGCCTGTGCCTTACATGTAACATATTTACTTGTGGGCTAATATAAAACACAAGAACAGCAGTGCTTGACTTAAACCATGACTTTCTAACCTCATAGCAAACCACCACCCCTGCAGTAGCAATAATGTATAATTAATTCTACTTCAAATCTCAGTCTGGACCATAATTTATAGTTTTGTCTTTATACCTAAATACATGGATTTTCAGACTGTGGTGGTGTCTTCTGGTAACCTTGCTCAAACTCAGACTTGCTCACACTGAGTGACACTGTCTTGTCTGGTGCAGCCCGTCACGGAGGGCCTTGGCCTGAGCTGAGGTAATTACCTCAGCTCATTTGGGATGAAGTCAGTTTGAATGAGGACTTAGCACCTCGGCAGCGCCAGCAGGATGGTACTGCAACTTGCTTCAGCAAGTCATCTAGTTCAAAGCACAGCTGGAGGTGGCTGAGGTGCCAGTCAGCTGCATGCAAACTCCTCTTTGACACATTCCAGCAAGTCTCAATCTATGTATTATACAAAGAGAGAAACCTTAGGTGGGGAGGAAGGTTGCATTTCACTGCTTGGCGGGGCCCACATACTAGTGGACACACTTTTTTTTAGCAGGTTTAACTCTTCACCAGTAGGAAAAAGTGAAAGTTTAAAAGATTCAATTGGGCAAATGCAAATGTAATTATCTCATTATCCTCACTTACAATAGAGCATGTTGTTTGAAAACTCCCGCTTTCTACCATATCTCAATATCATTAATTTGTGTTGTCATAACCTGGCCCATAGATCATGACAAAAAATGTGAAAAACACAGCTTTGCAAAAAAGTAAGAAATATTTATTATAACAACAAAGAAAAACTGAGATGTGGTTGTTTCTAACATCAGTGGTGTTCATGTGGATGAGTGTGAGTGTCAGAAGAGGTGTTGTGCAGTAAAAAGTAAAATAACTGGCAAACAAAGCAAAAAGGTGCTGCAGGGATGAGAGAGAGTGCCACACAGGAAGCTGGAGCTTTTATATCCTGCAAGCACTGGGCCCAGGTGCTCCAGATCGGGGTGGATATGCTAAATCTGCTCCTCTGGCACCTCCAAGACAAAACACACACCATGAGTGACAAGGCACACACCCAGACATACACAGGGGCCATCACAGTATGTACATGAATATTGTAACGCTGGTTACTCTTAGCGTTAACTATAGCTTGATAGTTACTATATTAACTACCTTTTTGGGTCGTGGGTGAAGCAAGAGCACGGGGAAAACTTCATCTTGGTTACTCGATCCACTTTAATGTCCGTTTTCAACAGTAGGACAACTGATCACACTTAACATCATATCACTCTGCCAATCTTAACCATTGGTAACATTCCAGGTAACATGCACCTTATGTAGTTCCTCATCTACATTCAACAGAATACAAATATGCTTATATATGTAATTACCCTTAATTAATTTATGCAAATTCAATAAACATAGTAAAGTAATTCACAAAATAAATCTCATCTTACAATATGATAATATCTTACCCAGTATAAATACACCAGAAATATACCTGCATTAGATTCATGTCTGATGGATATTTCTTATTTCTTTAGTAAAATGTTGGACTTCCAGGTAGAAAAACCCCAAACAGAACATTGACCTATAACTTAATGTACGATTAATGTCATTGAGGGTGTGGTCCTGGAGCAGAATTTCTGTAATTCTAAGTAATTCTAAGAAATTCTAAAAGATATTTTTGGAGGGTCTCAAGCTAAAAAAGAGGCACTCACCCCACCTGTAAATTGTTTCTTCTCACCCAATGTTGCTACACTGCCATTCATAATAACACACGATTCATAATGTGCCTTGTTTAAACACTTTATTTTTTCCTTAGTAAGTGTCCTACATCAGGAATTAATTGGACACCCTGCAGCCAATCCGAATTGAGTATTCACCCAGAACATGGTATAAGCGTTGTAAAGTTCTTGAAATGGAAAAGGAGCTGTTGACATGTTATCTTCCATGGTCTGGGTTGCATATTTATTTCGGTTCAGTTTTTCAGCTAGGCTAGATAGTAGTAGTATACTACAACTCTCTCTCACCCCCAAGACCACCTAGAGCCGAAGGGTCTGTCCTAGGTTTCTGCTGTTTAACAGGCAGTTTTTCCTTGCCCTTGTCGCCAAGTGCTTGCTCATGGTGGTACTGTTGGGTCTCTGTAAATGTTATAACGAGTTTGGTCTGGATCTGCTCTATTTGAAAAGTGTCCTGAGATAACTTCTGTTATGAATTGGCGCTATACAAATAAAAGTGAATTGAATTGAATTGAATTCAAGTAGGAATGTGGGGCCTAGAATGGTTGGTTGGTTTTAGGAGATAAAAACAAGTAATGTTGCTTCTACTATATGTAATGGCTTTTCTGATTGGGCAAGATGTTGTTCATATGGTTAAAATGTATAATAATGGTGTGTATAGACGGGGTTGTGCTTTATAAATGTTTGTTTGTTTGAGTCCTGCGCTCCTCTATTGCTCAAGAATATTCTTATTGAAACCTAATTTTACAGTCTAGACTGCTCTATTTGACAAGTGTCGTGAGATAACTTCTGTTATGATTTGATAACAGCTAGCCTGACTCTGTCCAAAGTTAAAAAATATAACTTTATATTCCTCAATGTGAAGTAACAAAAACTATTGTTTTGTATTGGTACTGAAACTCAGCTTTCACATTGGCATCTGTATGATTCCCAGCTCTAGTTATATGATACAGTAATATTATTTGTCCAGTGTGGCAACTTATTATACTCTGCTTCCCAAAATCTAACCTGAGAGGGAACATTAGTGCTCAGTACTCCTTTGATGCTATAATCTAACCCCCCTTTCCATTTGCCAAGTTGAATTCATTATGAACTCAAAACATTCAAGCCTAATCCCCAGGACTGCAGCCTAAGCAGTACCAGGCAGGAAGGCTGGAAGGCCAAGTCCTGAACACAGGTCACCTGCAGGTCCAGTTGGAGAAATAAATCTTCTAACATTCTCAATGGACCTGTTTATTTACTGAAATTATTAAAACAGAAAGTAAAGCCAATCAAAACCACAATTTACCAACCCACATCCATCTCTCTGATGCATGGAAGAATCAGAATCAGAGATTTAGAGCTCCCTGGTCTTCCTCTGAGAGAGGAATGGAACTGTAATGACTGCAGCCGGCAACCTTCATACATTAATAGACACAACTGTGCACAGTAATGAGGGTTAGATATCCATCAAAAGTGAAAAGTGCCAGCTGTTCAGCAAGGATTAGAGGGCTGCAGACATAATTATGTCATTACAAGTTATTTATTGCCCTTAATCCTCCCATACACTCATTCATACAACAAATTTTCTTCACATATTTATTAGTAAGTAAATATGTAAATATTAGTAAATATTAGTAAGTGAATATGTCAATTATGGCATGTCAACTTTCCTTTTGTAAAGAAAATACATATTAACAACAGAGTTTGCTGATACTGATTGAGTAAGAAAGCTTGAATCAACTTGGTTGAATCCTGGTGGAGCCTCCTGCCATGGTCCTGCTAGATTGCCATTGCCAGTACTGTTGTTACTGTGCACCTGTCTGTCTCTCTCTCTCTCTCTCTGTCTCTCTCTCTCTCTCTCTCACCCCAACTGGTCGAGACAGACGACCACCCACCTAGAGCCGAAGGATCTGTCCTAGGTTTCTGCCTTTTAACAGGCAGTTT